CTGGGAGCCAGAGGTTGCAGTGAGCCGAGATCACGCTATTGCACTCTAGTCTGGGTGACAGAGCAAGACTCTGTCTCAAAAAAACAAAAAAAACAGATCATGAAACAAATTTTGTAGGTGTATCATATGTACCTATGTGTGTGTGTATATATATATAATATATAGACAAATGAAATCTCTATATCATATATGAAGATACATATATATACACATATACACACACATATGTATCTTCATATATGATATAAAGATTTCATTATGATACAGAGCCTGATTTCAAATGTAGTGGGGAATTAATATGGTACATATTAGATGTGGTACATAAGAAATAAGCACTTCCAAGATCTTTTCAATGATAATTCTCATTCCTCTGATGTCTTTCAGACCAGCAGGGTATATTCTGCTCCAGACCCTAGGATATGCTTCAACAGGCCTCTCACAGCTTAATTTTCAGCTTAGTTTTTTTTTTTTCTACTTCTTTTTTTTTTTTTTTTTTTTTTTTTTTTTTTAGATGGAGTTTTGTTCTTGTCACTCAGGCTGTAATGCAATAGTGCAATCTCAGTTCACTGCAACTTCTGCCTCCCGGGTTCAAGCGATACTTGTGCCTCAGCCTCTTGAGTAGCTGGGATTATGGGCTCATGCCACCATGCCCAGCTAATTTTTGTATTTTTTAGTAGAGATGGGGTTTCACCATTTTGGCCAGGCTGGTCTTGAACACCTGACCTCAGGTGATCTTCCCACCTGAGCCTCCCAAAGTTCTGGGATTACAGGCATGAGCCACCATGTCTGGCCAAAGAAAATTTATTTTCCCAGGAGTCAGCTGCCTTAAATTCTTTCTGAACCAAGCCATGTTAAAACAAATAAATATTGAGGTAGAATTGGAGGGGAAACATACAAATACAACAATTACCATTTCCTTTAAACAATATCTAAGAAAATAATACTAGTCATCACTTATTAGATTCTTCTATTTGTTAGAGCTATGTACTACCTTTACTTATATTTCCATTACTGCCTTATCCCTTTCTGCATTTACAAAATCATCTTCCTATCTGCTCTACCAAATAGAGCTATTTGCCTTTTCCTATGTGTCAGGTACCTCACTGGCTCTACCAAATATGAGTTGGTGAGATACCTGGCACATAGGGAGAACCTAATATTATCTCCATTATTATAAGTTAGGAAAACAAAGCTCAGAGAGACAAATAACTTGACCAATGTCACCATATAGCTAGAGAGTGACATAGCTAGGATTTTATCAAAGTGTCTGACTCCAAAGTCTTATGTTTTTCCTAAGTCATGGTGTTAAAGGGGGGGATAAATTATTCCAAATATCATAGCAGATTTATCTTTTCCTTCATGCCTTTTTTTCTAATGTCCTTGTTTCCTGTGATACAGGTCCTCTTTTTCTATTGTGTCTCCTTTTCCTTTTGCTCTCAAAAAGTAGCTGGGTGTGGTGGTGCATGACTGTAGTTCCAGCTACTGGGGACGCTGAGGCACGACAATTGCTTGAACCCAGGAGGTGGAGGTTGCAGTGAGCCAAGATTGTGGTACTGCACTCCAGCTTAGGTGACAGAGGAAGAGTCGGTCTCAAAAAAAAAAAAGAAGAGGTGATTATTCAGAATGACGCCTATTACCAAAGAGCTCAGGGATATTTTGTATCTGCGTGTGTCAGTTTATGTTCTGGACCTTGTGCTCTGGTTATACTCTATCTTTTGCCATCTTAGGAAAAGCTAGTTGATGCCACTACTTCTCAGTATCTGGATAGTAAACAACAACTACAAAAACAAAAGCCTACCGCCTTATCTTTCTAAGTATGGCCAGAAGAAGCCATAGCCTATTGCTCCACTTTCTAAATGTCCTCACTGTGAACATTTAGTCACATAGGAGTACCGACTTAGCATTCGCAGAAAATTCTGTTTTGTGACTGCCTGATCTACCTGGAGTAAATCAATTCCTTATCATAATCATGTTGATACTGTATTCTGAGAACTCCCTCAGGAACACTACATTTCCAGTCTTGTTTTTTTTTTTTTTTTTTTTTTGAGACGGAGTCTCGCTCTGTCACCGGGCTGGAGTGCAGTGGCATGATCTTGGCTCACTGCAACCTCTGCCTCCTGGGTTTAAGTGATTCTCCTGCCTCAGCCTCCCGAGTAGCTGGGACTACAGGCGTGCTCCACCACACCCAGCTAATTTTTGTTTTTTTAGTAGAGACAGGCTTTTACCATGTTGGCCAGGCTGGTCTCAATCTTCTGACCTCTTGATCTGCCCGCCTCAGCCTCCCAAAGTGCTAGAATTACAGGCGTGAGCCACCATGCCTGGCCAGTCTTGTTCATTTTTAAACATTTGCCATGGGGGAAAATATGTGCTATTAATATAAAATAATCTTTTCATTTTTATTGAAGTTACTATTTCTTGACAGAACATTTCATTTCAATAACTAATCAGCTTACTCTTTCCCAGAGACCTATTTTAACAAGCTAATTTTAACAAATGAAAAAGTTGCAGTATTTAGAGCTATATTCATCTGTCATGTATCCATCATAAATAGGTACATTTTATTCTGTCATAGAAGTTTTCCAAAAACAATCTATGGGAGAGAGATAAAAATTGGTTGGCATGAACTTGTTAATCATGAATATAGGTAAACTGACAAACCTAACCTAAGAAACACATCGCTGGAGCAAAAGACAAATTTTGAATTTATGGCTCTAAGTGGATCTGTTTTCTTGCCAGATAAAAGAATGAGATGACATCTATGGGTTCATAATTTTTTGTTTCTTTCAAATGCAAAGAAGGCTGTGGGTTGGGACCTTTTGAGGTGAACCCTGCCTCGTTGCATATCAGAAGAAAAGTATGTTCATCTCTAAGAATTAAGGGGCATGGACAACAAATGAATCCCCTATTTATTTATTACTAATGAGAACAATTATCCCCTTCCAGCACCTCTTCTAGCTCATGATAATGTGCTCTTTAGAGCACTGGCGCTCCTTCTGAACATTCTTTCCTAAAGGTGGGAGGTGATTGTTTCTTTCCTTCCTTCTCCTTACAGTTCCCTAAATTTAGAGTGTTTCTACCAATTTAGACTAGCTCTACCTCAGAAACTATCAGAGAAGAAGGCTGACAACCTGTCAGTGGTACTCTGTATATAGTACTATTATAAAGAACATGTTTTAGGGTTAATTTATTATAGAGAAGGTGGAGGGGTTCTGCCCTATTTAAAGCCAAACTCTGGAACTGAGTTTTGATGCCTGTCCTTTTCCACCCTCCTGGAAAGCCACACGTCGATTATGCCTATTTCTCCTCATTACTTATTTCTCATCAACTGAACCCTCTCCACATCACTTAAACATGCTCTCATCTCATCAAATTTAATCCAAACTAATCCAAACAAATACAAAATCCACATTTGACCTACATTTCCTTTACTGCCTTATCCCTTTCTGCATTTACAAAATCAAATTTTTATTTGTTTGCACTTCCATCTCCATTTCCTCACCTCTGCTTTATTCTGGTTTCTGCTATCTAACCCAAAAATAATGTCCTCCACAGGGCATTATTATTTCTAGTTTTGTTTGTTTGATTGTTTGAGATGGAGTTTTGCTCTTGCTGTTCAGGCCGGAGTGCAATGGTGCGATCTCAGCCCTTTGCAGCCTCTGCCTCCTAAGTTCAAACAATTCCCCTGCCTCAGCCTCCCAAGTAGCTCAGATTACAGGCACCCGCCACCACGCCTGGCTATTTTTTTGTATTTTTAGTAGAGATGGGGTTTGGCCATGTTTGCCAGGCTGGTCTCGAACTCCTGTTCTGAGGTAATCTGCCCACCTTGGCCTCCCAAAGGATTACAGGTGTGAGCCACCATGCCTGACCTTAATTATTATTACTATTTTGAGACAAGGTCTCACTCTGTTGCCCAGCCTGGAGTGCAGTGGCATGATCTCGGCTCACCGCAACCTTCACCTCGTGGGCTCAGGTGATCCTCCTACCTCAGCCTTCCAAATAGCTGGGACCACAGGCATATGCCCCCACTTGGCTAATTTTTGTATTTTTTGTAGAGACAGAGTTTCACCATGTTGTCCAGATTGGTCTCGAACTCCTGGGCTCATGCAATCCACCTGCCTCAGCCTCCTAAAGTGCTGGGATTACAGTTGTGAGTGACCACGCCTGGCCCACCACAGGGCATTAAATGCTTGAGTACCTCAAGTCTGGTCTCCAGGTCTTTTTCTTTTCTTACTCTAAACTTGATCTTAGGAAATCTCATCTAAACCAACAGCTTCGTTTATACTGACAACTCTCAAATGAATAGTTCTAGGGCAGACTTCTTTGGTTTAACACAAATCGAATTTAACACAAAATGGGGTTGGTTTGTTTCCATATCTATGTTTGTTCTAAACTTTCCTGGAAATGGAAAGTAATCCCCATCCACTTCACCCAACTCCAAAGAAGAGTAAAACAATTAGAAACACTACCCCTTCAATCAAGCCCCAAGTCCTGTTGATTCTACCTCCGAAAAAAAAATCTCACAAATCTTTCCTCTTCTCTTCATCTCCATCATTGTCAAAAATAGTCTCTCAATATAAGTCTTTTGTCCAAGAGAGCCTTTTCACTTCCATAATAAAGAATTAAATAACTAGCACTAAAGAAGGCTAAGTATGGCTCTCTGGGCTTAAAACAATAATAACACTGGCCAGACACAGTGGCTCAGGCCTGTAATCCCAGCACTTTAGGAGGCCAAGGTGGGCGGATCACGAGGTCAGGAGTTCGAGACCAACCTGGCTAACATGGTGAAACCCCGTCTCTACTAAAAATACAAAAGTTAGCTGGGCATGGTGGCATGCACCTGTAATTTCAGCTACTAGGGAGGCAGAGGCATAAGAATCACTTGAACCTGGGAGGCGGAGGTTGCAGTGAGCCAAGAGTAAGCCACTGCACTCCAGCCTAGGTGAAAGAGTAAGACTCTGCCTCAAAAATAAATAAAATAAAAATAATAAGAACACAATTTTTTCCATTGTCACTTTATTGCAAGATGGTAGAATTAATTACAAATTTAAACTATAACCTGGTAATCTTTAGTCAGGCAGCAAGTTTTTATAGAGGCAAACTGCTTATACAGAAGTGATCATTGAACAACTCAAATGCAGAGTAAGAAGGATAAGAACTATCTGACTGGCCAACAGAGATTTCGTTCTCTCGCTATTTAAAACAAACTTTTCATTTTTAGGAGAGGTAAACCGTAACTTCAGTAGACACAAATACAGAAAGATTTTGTCAAATAGACAAGTTTCCATTTAGTCAGTCAACTGTTTCTAGCTGTCTCAATTGGAACAGGTACATTTACATAACTGGCTATGCTTGAGCCTTCTTTGCCAGACTTTAGGTCAGCAATGCACTTGGCAATTGTCTCCTTTTCCTGTTGTACAGAGATGCTCTGCACCACATGCTTCTCCACCCAATTTATCACGTGCTCTTGTTCCTTTCGACGCATCATGTTCTGCACAGATAGATGATAGTCCAAGCGATTCTTTAGTTTTTTATATACTCTATGCAGTCGTTCCCAGTAAGTAACCTCCAAAGCTATGGCAGTGTTATTCCTCTGCACATCAAAAAGATAATGGTGCTTCTGAACCAGTGCCTGCTGTGCCTTCTACAAATCAACTGCATCCTAGATTTCTTTGATGAAAGCCTGCTTCGCCTTTTCTAGTTGGGCAAGTTTTTGCTCATTGAGTTTATCAGCAAATTCTGCAATGGAAGGACCTTATTTTTTTAACTCCATAGATAAATAAACCTACTACTGATAGGGTAGTGAAGGTCTCTGTGGTAAACACAAAGATTTCTTTGGATAAAGCATTCAAGATAAGCCCAGTTCCAAGCACACAGGGTCTTGTTACACCAGTTTTTTTTGTTTGTTTGTTTTGTTTTTTGGGACGGAGTTTCGCTTTTGTTACACAGGCTGGAGTGCAATGGCGCGATCTCGGCTCACCGCAACCTCCGTCTCCTGGGTTCAGGCAATTCTCCTGCCTCAGCCTCCTGAGTAGCTGGGATTACAGGCACGCGCCACCATGCCCAGCTAATTTTTTGTATTTTTAGTAGAGACGGGGTTTCACCGTGTTGACCAGGATGGTCTCGATCTCTTGACCTCGTGATCCACCCGCCTCGGCCTCCCAAAGTGCTGGGATTACAGGCTTGAACCACCGTGCCCAGCCACACCATGGAATTTCTTTCAAAATTTCTTTCAATCCTTTCGAACTCTACCACTGCTTTTTCAACTAAGTTTATGTAATATTCCATTTTTTCTGTTTATTTTTATATGTAATAATTGAAATCCTTTATTGTCATTTCAACAATGTTTACAGCATCTTCACCAGAGGCTGTGGTTTCTTGAAATAGAATCCTCAAAAAACCACTCTTTGCTCATCTTTAAGAAACTACTCATCCGGCTGGGCGCGGTGGCTCACGCCTATAATCCCAGCACTTTGGGAGGCCGAGGCAGGTGGATCACGAGGTCAAGAGATCAAGACCATCCTGGTCAACAAGGTGAAACCCCGTCTCTACCAAAAATACAAAAATTAGCTGGGCATGATGGTGCGTGCCTGTAGTCCCAGCTACTCGGGAGGCTGAGGCAGGAGAATTGCTTGAACCCAGGAGGCGGAGGTTGCGATGAGCCGAGATCGTGCCATTGCACTCCAGTCTGGGCAACAACAGCGAAACTCCGTCAAAAAAAAAAAAAAAAAAGAAACTACTCATCCATTCAAGTTTGATCATGAGGTTGCAGCAATTCATTCACATCTTCAGGCTCCACTTCTAATTCTAGTTCTCTTGCTGTTTCTACCATCTTTGCAGTTACTTTCTTCACTAAAGACTTAATCCCTTCAAAATTGTCCATAAAGGTTTGGAATCAACTTCTTCCAAATTCCTGCTAATGTTGACATTTTGACCTCCTTCCATGAATCACAAATGTTCCTAAAGGCATCTAGATCGTGGATCGTTTCCAGAGGGTTTTTAATGTACTTTTCACAGATCCATCAGAGGAATCACTGTTTATGGTGGCTGTAGGCTTACAAGATGTATTTCTTAAATACTAAGACTTGAAAATCTAAATTACTCCTTAATCCATGAGCTATAGAAGGAGCATTATGTCAGCAGGTATGAAAACAACATTCATCTCCTTGTACCTCTCCATTAGAGCTGTTGGGTAACCAGGTGCACTGTCAAGGAGCAGTAGCATTTTGAAAGAAAATTTTTTTCCTGGGCAACAGATTTCAACAGTGGGCTTAAAATATTCACTAAGCCATGCTATAAACAGATGTGCTGTCATTCAACCTTTGCAGCTCCATTTATAGAGCATAGGCAGAATACATTTAACATAATTCTTCATGGCCCTAGGATTTTCAGAATAGTAAATGAGCATTGGCTTCAACTTAAAATGACCAGCTGCATTAGCCCCTAATAAAAGAGTCAGCATGCCCTTGGAAGCTTTGAAGCCAGGCAATAACTTCTCATTTCTAGCAATGAAAGTCCTGATGTCATCTGCTTCCCATATAAGGCTGTTTCGTCTACAGTGAAAATCTGTTTAGTGGGTTCATTTTCATTGATTATTACACTAAATCTTCTGGATAACTTGCTACAGCTTCCCCATCAGCACTTGCTGCTTCACCTTGCACTTTCACATGGTAGAGACAGCTTCTTTCCTTAAGCCTCATGAACCAAACTCTGCCTAGCTTCAGACTTTTCTTCTGCAGCTTTCCAATCTCTCTTAGCCTTCACAGAATTGAAGAGTGTTAGGGACTTTCTCTGGATTAGGCTTTGGCTTAAGGGAATGTTGTGACTGGTTTGATTTTCTATCCATCCCACTCAAACTTTCCCCATATCAACAATAAAGCTGTTTTGCTTTTTTTTTTTTTTTAAATCATTCATATGTTTACTGGAATAACCCTTCTTTTTTTTTTGAGATGGAGTTTCACTCTTGTTGCCCAGGCTGGAGTGCAGTGGCACGATCTCAGTTCAATGCAACCTCCGCCCCCCGGGTTCAAGCGATTCTACTATCTCAACCTCCCAAGTAGCAGGAATTACAGGTGCTTGCCAATATGTCCGGTTTTTTTAGTATTTTTAGTAGACATGGGGTTTCACCATGTTGGTTAGGCTGGTCTTGAACTCCTGACTTCGTAATCCACCCACCTTGGCTTCCCAAGGTGCTAGGATTACAGGCGTGAGCCATTATGCTCAGCCTGGAGTAACACATCTCATTTCCTTCAAGAACTTTACCTTTGCATTCACAACTTGGCTAACTGATGCAAGAGGCTTAGCTTTCAGCCTATCTCAGCTTTTGACACGCCCCCTTCCTCATTAAGCTTAATTATTTCTAGCTTTTGATTTAAAGTAAGAGATGTATGACTCTTCCTTTCATTTGAACACTTAGAGACCACTGGCCTAATTTCAGTATTATTGTATTGTAGGAAATAGGAGGCTTGAGGAGAGGGCGACAGAGAAATGGCCAAAGGAGCAGTCAGAACACACATTAATTTTTACTGGAGGAGTGACACATAATAAAGTGAGGTATGCCTGTATTTAAACAACACTTCGACATTTAATCTCAAAACATTGTATCCTTGAATTCACAGGGCACAGTACAGTGCCTGGAACACAGAAAGCACTTAATAAATGTTTGTTAGATAAATGAATAATTGTTCAAAGTTAGTTTCTTTTCTCCTTTATACTCTACATAACCTCCTCTGAGTAAAAATTAAAGCTTTTTGTTTTAATGCTTACGTGTTACTTCTTTAAAAAGTAAAAATTACAACAAATTTAGTTTAAAGATCTTAATTGGTTTTGTGTGTGTGTGTGTGTGTGTGTGTGTGTGTGATTCATTCTATAAAACCAAACTTTTTTGCTCCAATGAGCTAAGCAAAGGAGTTTGGTTTTATAGAGAGAAATAAGCTGAGGGCGTTGGGTGTGGTGGCTCATGCCTGTATCCCCAGCACTTTGGGAGGCCAGGGAGGGTGGATCACTTGAGGTCAGAAGTTCCAGATCAGCCTGGCCAACATGATGAAGCCCCGTCTTTACTAAAAACGAAAAAACTAGCTGGGTGTGGTGGCGTGTGTCTGTAATCCTAGCTACTTGGAAAGCTGAAGCAGCAGAATCGCTCGAATCAGGAAGTAGAGGCTGCAGTGAACCAAGATCGTGCTGCTGCACTCCAGCCTGAGTGGCAGAGTAAGACTCTGCCTCAAAAAAAAAAAAAAAAAAAGGTCTGAGGAAAGCAGAAACAGAACAAAAAGCAGATTGGTCATTTCAAAGCTACTTTCCCTCTAAAGGTTAAGGCAAAGGGGACTTCGTCATGCAAGATAAAACAACTATTTTGGCTAGGCGCAGTGGCTCATGCCTGCAATCCCAGCATTTTGGGAGGCTGAGGCCAGTGGATTATCTGAGGTGGGGAGTTTGAGACCAGCCTGACCAACATGGAGAAACCCCATCTCTACTAAAAATATAAAATTAGCTGAGCATGGTGGTGCATGCCTGTAACCCCAGCTACTCAGGAGGCTGAGGCAGGAGAATTGCTTGAACCCAGGAGGCATAGGTTGCGGTGAGCCAAGATATCGCCATTGCACTCCAGCCTGGGCAACAAGAGTGAAACTCTGTCTCAAAAAAAAAAAAAGACTTTTTGAGAGGATACTGTGTACCAGGAAGACTTATCATCATCCTCCTGATTGTGCCTATTAAGAGGATAATACCAAGAATTTGAAATATGCTTCTTACCCAGAGTCCCCATGAACTAAAGCAACTAAAATCAAACAGTTCTAAGAATGAGCCAGATGAAGAGTCTACCTGTTTTAACTAAGTAGGTGTTAATTTTTAATAACCGAGTCTCTACAATACCTGATATATTTACCTGTGTGCAACAAGAAGTGTCAGCAACTACACAGATTCCTTTCTGTTCAGCTAGTAGGTAATCTAGCATCCCATGACTGAGATAAATTAAGGTAGGAAGTGAGAACAAGTGGATATGGAAGACTTTTTTTTTTTTTTTAATATGGAACATTGCACAAATTTGCATGTCATCCTTGTACAGGGGCCATGCCAACCTTCTCTGCATCGTTTCTTAGTATATGTACTGCTGAAGGTGAGCACTAGAAGTCTTACTTTATAAAACAGACCAAGAGTACAATTTGAACAATAGTTGCATCAGGGATGTTGTTAAAGTTACCCACTGGGTGGAGTAAAAGATTTCTTAGATCATGGACAGATTTAGTTTGGTGGGACAGGTTCGACTTTTTTTTTTTTGAGAGAGAGTCTCTTTCTCTCACCCAGGCTGGAGTGCAGTGGCTTGATCTCAGCGCACTGCCACCTCCACCTCCCAGGTTCAAGTGATTCTCCTGCCTCAGCCTCCTGAGCAGGGATTACAGGCACGTGCCACCAGGCCTGGCTAATTTTTGTATTTTTAGTAGAGACAGGGTTTTACCATGTTGGTCCGTGCTGGTCTCTAAACTCCTGACCTCAAGTGATCCACCTACTTCGGTCTCCCAAAGTGCTGGGATTACAAGCGTGAGCTACCATGTCCAGCCTCAGATTCAACATTTTACCAACTTACCTGCAGAAGCTACTGATAATGAAATTCTATCTACAGCATTATTCTGTCAAGCCAAATAGGTAGGCATAAACAAGGAAAAATTAAGAGGGATAAGAGTCTCATTATAATGGAGAGTCTTGTTCCACTATCTTAGAAAAGGCTGTCCACAACATGAAGTCATCAACTTCCCATCTTTTTTGTGAGGTGGAGTCTTGCTCTGTTGCCCAGGCTGGAGTGCAGTGGCACAATCTCAGCTCACTGCAACTCCACTTCTGGGGTTCAAGCAATTCTCCTGCCTCAGACTTCTGAGTAGTTGGGACTACAGGTATGCGC